CTGAGAATCAAAGTTCATTGATGTTTATCGAGAATTCAGAATTTTTTGTCCCTTTGTTAACATTACATAAGCAAGGCTATTCTTCCACAGAGATGACTTTGCAAATATTGAGTTATGTTTTGTATCATGCTTAGGATTTTGACAGGTGCTTTAAAGTTGAAACAAATTCCTATCTTTTTGGTGTAAGTAGAAACACTCTACATTTAGGTTTTCTACACCTAAAATTAAATATCATTAAAAGCTTGAGTATTTTATGTATACCTAAGCGTGTTGAATTTGGAGGTGTGAGAGGATTATCTAGCCCACCTTAATACGCTGTAAAATTTTCTCAGCAGTTACTGCAGTTGAAGTTATCCCAGGGGGAACTTGACCAATACTTTAGGAAAGATCTGACAAGAGGTCACTTCCATCATTATAAGGGTACTTCAGTGTTCTCATCAATCCGCATCTTCTCTCTAATTGTAAGACATATAAATTGCCCAGTTAAATGACACCAATTTTTCCACTTAGTGGATTGTCCTTTAAGAGCAGACATCTTACTTAACTTTTTCCATCTCAAAGTTAAGGGCTAACCTAAATTAGTCATAGGTACAGGTAATGTGAAGAGACAGGTACCTCCTGATTCTCCCTTTCTTAAAGTAGATGTCTAATACAGTGTCATCCAGAGATTTACCCCACCTATTTCTTTGCACAGATGACAGGAGAGCTGGCTAATTTAGCCTAGGCAATGACCTTGGAGCTTTTAGAGATTAAAGTCAGGTAAGATAAATTTTATATTAATAGTTGCTGCAAGAACAATCTGCATAGGGGAAAAATCTCTTCACAACTCTTCCAGCAGGTAGCTGCCTGATTGTACCAAAGTAACTATACTTCGCATTGAGGGGTATAAGCCAAATGCCAGATAATCCAAGGAACCTTTTTCTTTGGTTATATTTATTGTTAAAAGATATATGAATAATATGTCTAATTCATTTTTCTTTTGCTTTAGGTAGTAGCTTTCATGAACTGATCTGATAATATGCAGATAGGACAAAACCAAGTATCAGAGGCTGAGAATTTTGTGAGAGTACTGGGATATTTCTTCCTGCTGACGTGAGGGAGGATCATGCCTCTGAAATTCAGAAATACTGACATAACCTCAGGTAAGAGTGGTGAATTAAGGAGTTACAGGGAAGTGAATATAACCTCTAAATGCTGTCTGAGCCGAACTCTAACTGTTTTATACTGAAAGAAATAAATTGCTTCTTGAAAACAGTGTATTGCTCATTGAGAAAGATTGTGGTATATTGCTTTCTCAACTCTATTTTTCTCCTCTTTACTCTCATATACTATTTTCTGGATGGGATTCATCACCTAATGAAACACATACATGAAGTAAGCCACATTCCACATAAACTGAAACACATTTCACATAAAACTGAAGTTCCTACTGACTGAATTGCCTAGTACAGCATCAGTATAGTTATCTGGAGAATTAATTACCTGAGTATGAATTTACCAATGGATAAATTAAACCAATCAGTGAAAAGTAAATTATTCAGTAAATGTCATGGTGAATGAGTATGAACTGAACCTAGTGGAAGGTAAATAGAAATAAAGTAGTATAGGAACTGCACCAACTGATGAAACATACTTGGTAGGGTATGAAATGAGCTGCTTGTCAGTTTTATATAGGTTCATCTATTCCACAAGTACATAAATGGTGTTAGCCAGATTAAAAAATATTTGAAGAATGTAGATAATGTTGTCAGTACTAATATCCACTATGAACTATTTCCTCTATATTGCCTGAGCATTGTAAAAAAATTGTTAGGATTTGTTGCTCCTGGTAAAATTGTTTAGTGGCCTGAACCATATGGACATGAATACCAGTTGTGAAAAAAGTAAAGGTATTTATTCAAAATAACATCTATCAATTTGAAGATGGAGTTTAATGTTTAAGTAGTTATCTAGGTTAAAAATGTTCAGCAATGGGACATATGACTGACTTCTTCCTTGTTGTCATTCTACCAAGTGTAAAAGAAGTCTGAAAGGTTAAAAGATTGTGGGCAGCTGTGTTGTTTTAAATAACTATATTTTTACTTTTGTATATTTACATACCTGTATCGCAAGAGTTGGTGCTGCAGCAAAGACGTGCTTCCTCCTGGGAGTTTGTCATGGTGACACTTTCTCTCTGCTGACTGTAGGCAAAGTCTAAATGTCTACCTTGGTCTAGATGCCTAATTTTATATGGCACTATGGCATGTGTATAATGACATATATATTGTGTAGAAATCTTTGATGAATTTCAGATTTAATCCCAAAGAGATTCTGTTCTTTGTTATTCTGCAACATCTTGAAACCAAACTAGATCTCCCCATCTACTGGTGTAAATAGTAGAAAGACTTCATCCCAAGATATTTTCCATACAAATTCAAATTTAGACACAGGAATACCCCTAATGAAAGTTCATGTCATCAAAGTTGATCTATTTTCAAGTAAAATAATAGCAATAGCAGTGATTTACTTCAGGATAAAGTCTTGAGATCCTGCATGAGGGCAAGGACACATACTACTTGTACACATATGCTGTCCATACATGTAGTAAAAATAGTCTTCTTGCCAAAGCCTATAGACATAATTCAATGGAATTACTTATTTTTAACAGTTCATGCCAAGATATTAAACTGCTCAAATATCTACAGAATCCAAATGGGAAAACTTAGGGAAGCTAAAATGACTATTGTATGATTGCATGAACATAAATCTAAAATTATTAAGTAAAGGGAAGCAATAACTCTTGGTTTACTTATTCCCATGATGTCATTTCAATATAGGTGTGGTTAAAATATCCCTTTTATATTTCATTCATTTTTATAAGATTATTACATGGGAGCAGTTTCCGCTTACTTGGGATTGCAACCAGGAACATTTCACTATAAAGTCCTATTTTTCGCTATTCAGTTGTGAAAAATCAGTTTTGTCTAAAATTTTTCCAGATTTATTGTAACTACCACATATGTTTCTCTGGAGTCTGAAGTAAATCAGTCATACTCTTTTCTTAATTTTAGCTTTAGAGGTCATTTTCTAATTCTAATAAAAATCAATTCATTACTCCTAACATAAACTTTCTATTCATTAAAATGGCATAAACCTATCTCCACATTTTTTTAAATAAACATATATTTAAATACTTGTATCAGTTGCTTTTGCTGCATAATACGTATTATAGATTCAGTCCTGCATATATTGAATTATGCTTTCTGGAACTCATGGTCCTGATATCATGGCTGTTCTGTCCTGTGGAATTCCAGTGCAAACAGCACTGAGCAATGCCAATAGTTTTTGTGCCTTGTGTAGGCACTGACGGCTGTGAAGCATTGGCATCAGTCATTGTTATAAATGATGATTGGGCTGCATTTTGCTCTCATTGTGCTTAATTTGCAGATGTATAAATGATTGTACAGCTCAGTGACAAACTGAATCTGTAAGTGTTCTCTTCCATATTTTTCACAGGAAGCAGCCCTTGTACAACACTAATAAATTATATGTCTAGTTAGAAAAATAATCCACTTTTGTCTTCTACCACCCATCTCTCACTGTCAAATAAAATAAGGGTTGTACAGGCATTGCCAGTTTGATTTGTGGGTAGGACTTTGCACCTCTTCACTGCATAAAGCAGCAATCATGTACTGAAAGATGTGTGTTAACGTGTGGAGAAATGAGGGCACAGATACAGGGTGCATAAATTAATGTTCCATACATAACTGCAGTGCTCATCTCAGCAGTATTTTTGTGTAATTTTATTTGGATGTAATTTTCTTAATTGTCAAGTAGACAGAAAAAAACAGAAATTTCCCTGCACCTTGCTCATGAATAAAGTGGGATCAAGAGTCTGCAACACAGACTGCTAGGGTTTGAGTAACTGTTAGAAATAGCAGGTTTATATAAATCTGGGATGAATAAAATAAGATTGTGAATTCTTGGCAAGTAAGACCACCCAATTAAGGACAGCCAGTGTTGACTTAGAGGTGTTGAATGCTGGAGAACTTATAATGTTACTAGGTATTTTTACAGTGATTGACTACTGCCACTGTTAAAATGGGTTCCTTATTCCCAGAGGGAGTTGATACAGTTTCTCACCTGTGGATATTGCTGTGTTCCTATCTGATACAAGGAAGTGTCAGCTACTACCAGAAATTTTATCTCCAGACAGGTACTTGCAGACTGTGATCAAATCACCTCTGGTCCTCCTTGACAAGAAAAATAAGTTTACCTTGTAACATCTCTTGTGTAATGCACATGGGTAGAATTACAACCATTTTTTTATTCAGTTCTTAAGTTTTTGAAACATTGACAGAAGTAGCATCTTTATAAGTAACTACTCTCTACTCCTACTTGTAATTCCATTTGTCACACGTAAAAAAGGATGTACTAACAGCCTACTCTGATGGTTCATATATAGCTGATTATCCATGAGGTCCCGTGTACCTTTTCCAAGTTCACTGATTTCTTGAATGCAGTTTTTCATCTTGTGTGTGACTCAGTTTGTTCCATATAATCTGTCTCATTACTGGTTACTGTTCTATCAGATTTTTGGCATCCATAATTTTCTTCAGCACAAAATTTATATTTTCTTCCACATTTCTCGTGAATATACTGAATAGCATTGGAAGAACAGCAAACCCACTGAGAATAACTGGGTTGAATACTGATTTTCTAACTTCAGGTTTTCAGCTCTCCCAGTTTTTTATTATTTTATATGTTTAATACCTTTATTCTGGTCTTTTATGACTGTCATTGGGCAGTCCTCAGCTAGTAGTGTATGTATTTATTAGGAGGTTAGTTATGTATAACACTTGGTGTAAATGTCAGATGGGACTGTCCTTGCGACCAGTTCAGCTGCATCCTGGAGCAGGCATTCCTATTATATTCCTTTCCTTTTTAAAAATCAATGTTTTCTCTGTTTTTAATGTATTTATTTCCTGTCTTAACACAACCAAAGATGATATTGCTGTCAATTGTTCAATTTTACTTTAATGACATGTACAAAATATCCATTCTACATTGCAACTTAACATATTTTATATAAAATCCAATGTACAGTATCTTAAATCTGTTTAAATATTATTATAAACATAACTTTCAGGAGGAGTCAGTCCTGGAGTGATACAGTCTTTTGTTAATTACAGTTCCTTTGATATCCCTGCTGTTCAGTAAAAAATCCAGGTTATGTTATTTATTCTAAAAAGGTCCTTATGAGCTCGGATTTGGTTCCTATCAGAACAAAAATAAACTGCCAGTTAATTTTTTTTTTCAACTTTGCATCCCCCACACAGCTATATAAAACCTTGTGCTGGGGTGTCCAGTTTGAATGTCATTTGACATCATCTGTTTCAGAGCTCATCTTCATCCGATAAAGCATCAAGGTAATCTGTATCAACATATAAGAGAAATCCAGAAAACAAACTGTCTGCCCATGTTGGATCAGAAAAGAGACCATTTTGGTCAGCGTAGAAGATCTCAAGCCATACTTCATCTTCTGGCTGAAGGTAGATCACTGTGGATCCAGAAGCTACATCATGGTTGCCCGTGTTTGCATCAAATGTCTTTATCCGGTACTTTCCATTGTGAACCAGCCCAATTGCAAGATGCTTGTTTGCTAAGGTGATATCATAGGAAAAATAATAAATCCCTGGGATGGCACAAATAAACTTCCCTGTGGAAGGATTATAATGCTCCCCCTCATTGAAGAGCACTTTATTGAATACGATCGGTAATCTTTCCTCTGGGTAGCTCGTGGTAATGCCAACAGAAAAGGCGGATTTCAGCACTATCTTTCCACACTTACAGACCCCTGGTGCACCTGGCGTTCCTCGGTCTCCTTTATCTCCCTTAGGTCCTGGTGGTCCAGCTGGACCTACTTCACCTTTGGCACCAGTCAGTCCTCCAGGTCCTTTTTTACCAGCCTGACCTTGGTCTCCTTTCTCTCCAGCTGGTCCTGATGGCCCAGTCTTTCCTCTTAAACCTTCAAAAACATTTTAAGTTAGTTAATCATTGCACATATCGTCTCAGTAGATGATTGTGTGGGCTACTAGTAAATTAGCAAAGGAATGGCAGGTTAGAACAGAGGACTGGGCTCCACAGCCTGGGGGTCCTTTGTTTCTATATTCCTACTTTTCTTCATACACCTTGATTACACACTGGAGAATTTTATACCTGATCAGTCCACTACTGACTGAACTACGGGTGCTAAAACACGATACTTGTGTGCTAAATATCTTCTATTATTTAAGCATTTTTATATGTATCTAAGTACCTGCTAATCTTTTAATCCTGGTTAATGGCATAAATGGGACTTTTTTATTTGACACCACGTATATTTCATTTTTCTCAAGCTTTTTCTTAGCGTCTGTGTGCAGGAAGGCTATGCATTTATATTTATTTGTACAGATTCAGACATATCTAAAATATATCTGCACATTTTCATTCACTACATACACATGCATCACACTTAAACCCACACAGGCACATACACACATTCATCATATACATATATATGTATAACAGTGATGACAAAAGGCCTTACTTCATTGTACTACTGTGTTAGGTTGCACAAATATTCAATACCTGCACTCCCTTTTTCACCTTTTTCTCCCTTCCTGCCATCTCTACCATCTCTTCCTGGAAGACCAATGCGTCCGTGTGGCCCTGGGGATCCGCCAGTTCCAGGGGGACCCGCAGGGCCTGGCAAACCAGGGATGCTACAGATGTATCTGGTGTAGTAATTTTCTCCTTTGAACTGGCTTTGAAGAGGTTGTTCACTTGTGTAGATGACAAAACTTGTAATGTAAAGCAAGACAATCATCCTTGGATCTGGAAAAAATACACACGAAGATGACTATGCATGTTATGGCACTCTAGTCACATGCAGATGGCTCTGAATATACCAATAACTGTGAGGCTGCAAGTGCACATGCAGAGATCAACCTGGTATTTCTGCATTACCAGAATCCATGTAGGAGGGCAGGAAGAAGGTCTGTCAGGACTGTTTTCTGGTCACCATGTATGTTACTGTATGTGACTGACATAGTATAATTGGTGCAATACCAGCTTTTTTGGAGCAAAGTTTGACACATTAAAAAAGAATCTGGATTTTTCAATGAAAAGTCCTTTGCTTGCATAGCGTGGTTTTTGTGTTTGTGTGTGTGTGTGTCTTTGGGACCTGTATAAGCTTTACAGAGAAAAGCCTTTATGCTAGAGGGAGTTATATCTGTGTTAGGAAGATGTGCCCATAGGAGCAGTCTCTTCTAGTGAGGACAAAGCTTACACCAGCGTTTAATTTCATTTAATTTCATTTTGAAATTTGCCTTTATGGTTGCAAATGGGTCTCCAACCTGAATAACCACAGCAGAAACTTACAGAGCCTGCAGAAAGGGGATGAGTAGGAGCTACAGTTCCAGTGCCTGGTTGGAAACCCTGATGACCACAGCACAAATAACTGCTTCACCCTAATTGGTTAGGTTGAGTTAGGCAGCTGCCTGGTGGCGAATAGATGGAGTATGAAGGGGACTGCTAACAGGTTGGGCGTTTTAAGCCTGGTTTGGACTGTCACATGACATGAACTGTGTTGTAGTATATTGCAAGAAATTTTTTTAAAGTTTTATATATAGCATTTGGGTGTTTTCGTAAACACTGAATGTGAATTGGATTTCTCTGTTCCACTATATACTGGAAGAGTAAGGAAAATCATTGTACAAACAGTAACATGCTGAGGAGTTGCAATACCTGATGTACAAAGGTGTCTTAAATTATTGTTGCATTAGCAGAGATTCTGTCATGGGTCAGGTGAGATTTTGCAAGTCAAGTTGTTTTTTCTAGTTCCCTTGCTGGCTTCTCAGAAGACTTGTGCAGGGTTTTTTGTTGGAGTAGTCCATTACTTCAGAGTTAATTTACAGCATTCAAGGAAATCAGAGTCCACTGGTTTCTGTGGAGAGAAAAAGAAAGTATGGAATGGGGGATTCAGAAAAATATCTGTGAAATACCATCTATGGTTTTTTTTACAGTGAAACTCAAGATTCATTCTCAAACTCAGAGTTAAAGAAGTTGCAAAGTGAATTAATCTAGAAATTGTTGTTCTCATTCCCTTCTCTGTGATACTGATTTAAAACTCCAAACCATTACATTTATTTGCAGTTAATGATATTTCAACTGGTATATGTCTCAGTCAAATCTATTCAGCATAGAAAAAGACCAGCATATACAATTTTTTTACGAAGAATCTTTTCTGTTTGAAAGAATAGGAAATTAGAAGCTGTCTTAGTATTAATGGCAATGCAGAAAAAAGGATGAAAATATTGCACTTGGAGAGAAATAAGCAATGCTCCAGAATTCTCTTCAGTGATGCATACTCCGCTTTTCATATTAAACATCTTGTATCAAATTGGCAGAAACCAAACTATTAATTTTGCTGTCTTTTAATAAATCCTTACAGTACAGTCAGACACAACAGCCCTCAAGAGTGGATTAACATATGAATGCTTAACATTACAGCAGAGCAGCAGATGATAATTCCAAGGCAGCTACAAGCACAAACTTCACAGTGATGTTTGCTCTGATGTACAGTAGTACTCAATACTGTACTCAAATAAAGCTCACAAAGTTTCATAGGACTTAAGCCAGGGACAACAAAGCTGTCTTCAGAGGAGAACAACTTTAAGCACCTAGGCAGGAGGGAGCAGCTTGGAGGGAGTTCATGTCTAAGACTGCTTATGCATTTTATACAAAACTGGATAAAAAGCAGACACGACCTAAGGATCAAGAACTGGAACAAAAGCTGCCCTTTGCCAGATGAAAGTCAGAACCAGTAGGCGAGATGTTCCCACACTGTGTTGCACGTAAGCCAAGCAAAAACAATCTCAGCAACTGCTGTTTTTTCCATTGTCCAGAACCTTTTACAAATCAGAGTAAGAGCCTTCAGACAGCTGCTTCTGTCACTGGCTGGCCAGTAACTTATTGATGTGTGAAGTGGCCTCCAGCTCCCAGACCTCCCCTGCTGTTCTTCTCATGTGCCTACAGGAAATCAATTACTCTGGGACATGTGCTTCTGCTAAGGCCATGGGAAAAAAAGACATTTGGGGAAAGTGAGAGGAAAGGGGTTGTTGAAATAGGGATGTGCCATAGATGGTTGCGGCATTGTGGTTGAAGAATCAATTTGGGAAGGAGAATGCACAGTGGAGAATATGTGAAGCTTTCAGCTGTGGGTTGGGGGATCTCAAGAGGTGATGAGGCTGTGAAGCAGAATGGTGGGACTGCAGGAAGAACAGAGAAGGATTGAGAGGAAATAGTAATAATGTTCAGTGATAATGTACAGTCCTGAATTTGGGCTTGAGGGGAATACAGGAGGCTGCTTCCAACAGTGGCAGTCAACAAATGACATTTGGGAAACCATGCATTAGACCACAGAATCAGGACTTCACTTGTCCTTTGACTTCAGGTTCTTGCATTTCTTCCTGTGTAATGGTCCAGTTTTAACAGGAGGAGTGGAAGGTACCTGTCTTTGTTATTGCAGAAATGTTTTGGAAAGTGTGAATCTCCTCAGAACAAGGAAGGATGTAGCGTTGAGCCCATCCCCCTGTTTCCTGGTGAGTGCTTTAAAAGGTAAATTTAATGTTAAAGGTGAATGTTAACATATGTCCATGCTTTTGAAATTTAAGGCTGAATTAGGAGGCCAAAATCACAGATTTCATTTCACCTGTGCTTACAAAGTTAGAGATCACTTTCTCAGGAGTTGCAGTGTTGCGGTGAAATACTTGATCGCAGAGAGTTAACTGATAGGCAGAAAGTGAGTCATAAATAACACTTTCGTCCTGTTGTTTCAGGGTACAAGCTCTGTATAGTTTGTATATTTTTCAAAGATACAAACTTTTGTCCATAAACTGGGGTGGGCAACAATGTCATTTATATATGCCAAATAGTTTCATTCAGGGAAAACCAACATTTGAGTTCATTCTTCTTCCCAAATATTGAAATCCAAAACAAGCACATGGTATTCTTGTTCACAACCGTAATGATTGTCTTCAACAAAACCATCACCAAAAATAATAATGAGAACTATATGAACACAGGATTAGAAGAATGTTATTCCATGTTTGGAAAATAGCATTTCAAAAGATTCCACTAGGTAGAGCAAGAGTGCATGCCAAAGCATTCACTGGAAGATGATGAATGTGCCGGTAAGTTCTAATGTGCAGCGATTTCTTGAACAGCTTTTCCAAGTGAGGTTCATTTGTTCCATCGTTGACCAAATTGCGTGAGCAGCATAATCACTGCCCTTGTGCATAAACCCAAAAGATCATCTGATTCATTCAACACTGGAAAAATATTTAAAACCCTATTCTGGACGTCATGCGTGTTAAGGTGACAGATCTAAAGAATCAGAAGAAATATCAAAAGAAGCATAGCCAGGAGATCGAGGGAGGTGATTTTGCCCTTTTACTTTGCTCTAGTGAGACCCCCCACACCTGGAAGCTCTGGAGTCCTTAGTACAGGGAAGACAAGGACCTGTTATAGCGGGTCCAGAAGAGGGCCACAAAAGTGATCAGGGGGATAGAACACCTCTCCTGTGAAGAAAGGTTGGGAGAGTTGGCATTGTTCAGCCTGGAGAAGAGAAGGCTCTGAAGAGACCTAATTGTGGCCTTTCAGTACTTAAAGTGGGCTTATAAGAAAGACGGAAACACACTTTTAAGCAGGGCCTGTTGTGATAGGACAAGGGGTAATTGTTTTAAAACAAAAGAGGGTGGATCCAGACTAGATGTAAGGAAGAAACTTTTTACAATGAGGGTGGTAAAATGCTGGAACAGGTTGCTCAGAGAGGTGTTTCCCATCCTTGGAAACATCCAAGATCAGGTTTGACAGGGCTCTGAGTAATCTGATCTGGTTGAAGATGTCCCTGCTCATTGCAGAGGGGTTTGGATGACCTTTAAAGGTCCCTTCCAACCCAAACTATGAATCTATGACCTTGAGAAGATACTCTGTGCATTACATTCCCATTGAAGCTAAGTTCTGGGCAGATGGTCTTTAACATCAAGCCTTTAGGAAATCTCACTTAATTACTATCAGACTTGATCATTAACTTTTTTTTTTTAAGAATAAAGCAATTGTAGCAAATTCCAGTTTTGAGACTTCCTGCTACATGATCTAATCTTCCTTCCTTGTCCAGCTATGCAGGTCTGAATTCTAAAATCTACTAATTGGCATTGTTTTGAAACAATCATACAAGATTTCCCATTAATCTGTTATAAATAAAAGCTGGGTCAAAAGCCAGTAATTATTGGTGTCAAGTTATCCTGGCTGTGTTCTTGCATTTGTCTTTCCTTGCTAGCTTTGAATTAGTTTCCAATATATATATACACACAACTATTTAAGGAAAAGGAGATGTGTTTTAACTTCCTTGTGCAAAAGAACATAGGTGAGAAGTAGTGGTGCTCCTAGGACTTTTTTGTCTGCAGCGCTAGTAATGGGTTAGTGATGTGGAACAACATAGTCTATACATCCTCTGGCTCTTCAGTAGCAAAGGCCCATACTGCCCCACATAGAATCATAGAATAGTTAGG